TATTTTCTTTTAATCCTCTTTTTTTTACCTCCGCCCAAGGAGGATATGTTTTTTCGTCTGCACTTCTTTGTGTGTCTGCCTGTTAGTTAGCAGCATAGCACAAAAGCTAGTGGATGGATTACCACAACACTTGGTAGACAGATGTGGTTTGGGTCGGGGGAGGAAACAGTAAAGTTTTGTGCAGATCCAGGAAATTGTTTTAACGATCTATAACACTGTGAAATTGGGAGTTTTTCATTGATTTGAGAATAATTCATGGATCTTGATGAAAGGACTGATATTTATGAGTGTGTGCAATTTGACAATTAAATATGAAAAGATGAAGATGTAGGGCCTTTACAGAGGTATGAACTCTACTGAGCACCATTCTAGCTAATATGATAAACTGCTTATTCCTTAAGTGTTTTGACCTGATTAATCTCTTATTTTTAGTTTTTATTGTTCTATCATAATGTACTCAGTGTTGCATTTATGCCTAAATTATGCTATGTAAATAAAGTTCATAACTATTATAAGACGATGTTCACATCTGCTATACATTTGCATGTATACAACTACAGGATCTCTATGTCAAGTTGATGGTATGTAACCCACGTTTCTAACCTTTTGCACATGGCATAAATTGATTCTCTTTTGTTTAGCTTTGTTAGTTTTTAGTTTAATGGGGACTAAAGAATATAAAAACCAGTAATGCCTGCAACTTGCCTGCTTTACTGTTAACCAGCTGGAGGATAAGAGGACGACGGGTGACAATACCAGACCCTCTGGGCAAAAAGTCCCTGAGGAAGAAACAGAAGTGAAGTTTAACAAACAGACACTAGGGGGAAAGGATATTGACAAGAAAATGTCTGTTTTGGACCAGCGACACACACACGGCCTAGATTCACTATACTGATCCATGATGCTTCATTAAAATAAATACAAAAGATCTGGAAAGAAACAAAAAAAGGAAAAGTATTTCATTTTCAAAAGACACCAGAATACTGCAAATGTATCTGCTCATTCCAAGAACCAAGCTCTACATTTCCCTATGCTTCCTTTAATCACATATGCAGACCTCTATGTGAACGGGTGCAATATTCATACAAGACCAAGATTGACTTACAACCCTATCCATTATAAATAGTGCAGAGGGACAGGAACGTCTCCCTCTGTTCTCGTTACACACACGATCATGAGAATGGAAACTCCTGTTCAATAGAGCTGTGATCATTTCCAGGTCACTGGCAACACATCTCTCCGAGCCATGCCAACATGTCTGTCTGTGTCTGCGTGTGTGTGTGCCTCTGTGTTTGCCAGGTCAGTGGCAGAGACACAGTTGAGCTATATCGTAAGGTAACCAGGGCCACACACACACTAAGACAAACACACATTTGTATGCTCACACCCTGAGCCTGTTGTCCACTGCTGACAGAGCAGTCAGGAAGTTACACAACTGTGATCGCCATCCTCCTTCCTCATCTCTTCCTGTCACTCATGAAAGCAAATCAGAAATACGATGATTACCAGCAACACAATTCATTAATTCAATCGTGAAGTCATGTGTTCTGTGAATGTCTGCTGACAAACATTTACTATTTAAATGTGAAGGTGTGGTCTTTTTTTGTTATTGCAGAATAAATACCTCTGGGCTGTTGGTCTGACACTGTTTTAAGACATTTAATATTCTAGACCAGGGGCAGGCAGACTGTGGATTCGAACCCAGACACCATCTATTTACAATATATCGGTAAACTCTTTACACTTTATAATTCTTTTTTTTTATTCCTATAAAAGTTTCTACTTGACCTGAGAAAAAAAGGGCTTATTATTTTTTTTATTCATTAGAGTACTTATTTAGAATTCCTCCAGTCCAAAGCGAAAACTGATGATAAATATTATTACATTACACTTTCTTTGATTTGACAGTCATTTGTTGACTAAAAAGGTGTTGATACGTCTAATATTTCAATATTTATTGCACTGAAGTGCTAGTTAGACATAATGTTCTGATGCTTTGCTCGAGGAAATCATCTCTATCTGGACCTCTGAATTTTATTCAGTAGCACAACTCTAGACTTCTGGAGCGGAAACTATTTGAATCAATGAATCCATCAATGGAAAATTAATCTTCAACAGTTCTGATTGTGATACTTGTTATGATCTTTTAAATCCTGCTACTTAAATTTGAATATGATTGTGCTGACGTGCATCATTTATTCATTCTAAATGGCACAACGCAACATCTCAGGCTCGATACTTACTGACATTTTAAGAGACCTTTTTTTTTTACTGTTTACAGAGGTGCACTTTGGCTTTTTAGTTTGGTCCATGTCCAATCACTTAACACGGAGTAAGCAGTATTTATGACCAAATACTGTCGCCACTAACTACGTGGTTATGGAGACGCTTTGACTTCACGTTTGGGGAGCGGCCATGTTGTCCATCTTTATATACAGCCTATGATTCAATCCCATAAACACTTGGTCTAAAATCACGAAGAAGAAGAAAAAAGAACACACTGAATCAGTCATGGAAATTAAACTGTCGCAGCTTTGATTGACTTCAACGAGTTCTCACAGCCTGCGTTACACCTCCGCATGTCGCAGGCCTAATTAACAAACATATACCCTTTTGTGGCTATATGAGGTGCCCAGTGTGTCATATACACATGACAGTGCAGCTGGTGACATCACTGATGACCCCAGCACAAACACATCAATGCCCCTACTGTCTCCCCCGGCCACTGCTTGGGACTCGGAGACAAAAGGCAACAGGGGGAAAAAAGGAGACATGTCCGTCTAATCCACATTCCCTATCTCTTGGACAACAAATGAAATCATTCTCACATGTCGAGCAGTTAAGTGCTCTCATTTGTGGCTCGACCCTCACTTAGAGATAAAGACACAAAGCTGCTGCTGCTGCTGATATCTTCAGTGGATTAGGCCTGAGCTGCAGCAACGTCTTCTTCCCCTTCCCTTTCCTCATTCCTGTAAAATGTCTCGACTGTTAAACAGAAAAAGTGACTCTTCCCCACATTGTTGGAAACTGGGCCGACTGAGCCCAGCATGTGGCATTAATGTTGTTCTTTCTGCTACTCATCATCCAGGATGATCCAGAACTGCTCATTGAAATTCCCTTGGTACTCACTCATCAACCACACAAAGAGAAAACGTGTTTGCATGCTGGGAGCACAGACCCCTGCCACTTTCATTCATACTTTCAGTGTCACTCACCAATTATTGATTTATTAATGACAATGACCTCATTAATGGCACTAACATTTTTTAGTATCTTACCCGGGAAAGTAAAACATCAACCTGACCTATGTAATATGACGTCCATGGATTTACTGCAGAGGGAAGGTAATCTCAAGGAGAAGCAGACTTTGTAAATGTTTGACAGGATGGAGCTCGTGTGAGGCTGCTGAGGGCATCACATTTTAACTGCACAGCTTGATTTGAATCTAAAGTCACCTTTTTAAACCCATTCCTCCAGAGTCAGTGTCTCACAACAGCTGTTTTCTTGCGTAAAATGCGTAATTATCCACCGTGAATTGCTCAGCTCCAAAATGGAAAGAATCCGTTAGGGGGAAAAAAACAGTAGGAACTGGGAGGCACCGACACACAGTGCGTAACAGAGCGCTTAGCTGGCGACTTTTACGCAAAAGTCTGGTTTGAATTATAAGAAAAAAACAGACTTGAACTAAGAAACATTCACATTGGCTGTATCAGATTAATCAAATAAAACATAAACGTTACAACCTGCCGACGAAATTCTCCAGCACCGAGCTCTTCCCTGCGCTCTGCCCGCCGACCACCGCTATCTGCGGCAGGTCCAAGTTGCAGCTCTGACCGATGGAGCTGAAGGCGTCCTGGAGCTTGTTGATGAGGGGAATGAGGTCTTCCATCCCCCGGTTTCCCATCGCGGCACCTCGGTGTGTCCAGCTGGGTCTTCTTCTCCCTCCCGGTCGAGTGGGAACCAGAGAGGGTCGCTCGCTCCTACAGCAAAGCCAAAAACTTCCCAGATGGCGCAGCGGTCTGCGGGTTTATCTCATCCAGCCACAGCGGAGGTCACGATCCAAGCGTCCTGACGGCGTCCAGAGCCCCGGGGAGCTTAACAGCTGCACGATCGCATGTTGGAAGTAGCGACATTAACACAGAAAAACTTCTGTCATCATCCGGTCAGGCGACACCCAGACAGGACAGTGTGGCTCCGCCTCCAGCGTCCGTGTGCGCACTCATTGGTCAGCTGGGATGTCAGTCAGGTCACAAGTACATGTCATCATTTTCATTTTCTATGGATTTGGATTGAATCTGACAAAGCAGGAGAATTCCAACAATAAGCTCATTATAAACTCAATGATTCTGTTTGGTGGGTTTCACATCCATAACTGCAGACAGGTTACCAATAGTTTCACAATATGTCCATGTAGTTTATGACACAGACACTTAAAAGTAATAAACTGTCCAAATTCACCTTGAGATTTTCGATGATAACATTTCCATGTTATAAATAATGTTTTTACTTCATGCATGTATGTACTTTTTAAGTATCTATGGTTTTATTTATTGTATTAAAATATACAAAAGTAGCAAAGCAGGGAAAATAGATTAAACACATGTTATAACAGTGAGCTTCAGTTGTAGTTTTAACTTCCTGTGTTTTGTGTGTTTGACTGCTCCATGGACTTCTGGTTATATTTCATGGTATTTTATTTTTTGTGTGCATCTCATTGTAAAATATTCTGTAGAGAAATAAGGTTCAGTTACTTTCTAGAGCAACTGTGTTTTTTCTTTGCATCTGTATTTCTGCTGATACACCAACAGCACCGATTATTTCATTTCCACGGAGTACAATTACTGTTTTAAACTATTACAACAAGAAGAATTAACACAGAGAAAAAACCGTGAGAAATAAGTGTCAAAATAGTCACTCAAAAGCGAAAAAACAGCTACGTTGGTCACTGAATCAGCCACACGATGGCGCTGCAGAGCAAAAGAAGATACACACGAAGTCACTGATTTGATAATATACATCCTGAATATAAAAGGAAGGCTCGATCAACTGAGAATACTGAAGTCACAAACCTGCACATTTTAAAACTTTAAAAGGAATGAAATCACATTTCTTCAATAACAAGCTCATAACAATTGTAAGAACATTTCACTTTTTTTCCATGAACATAAATTCTGCAAATTTCATTTGTGAATAATGTTTAGGAATTTTCACAAACTGACCATTTACATGAAGCGTGTTCAGATATCTCAAAAAACTGGAAAATGTCAAGTCTATTGATAGCATTCAATAATCCTTTACACTATAGTGCAGTACAGCAAGTAGATAAATCAGTAAGGGGGGAAATCAAGGACTATGTCTAATTGATAAAACGTTAAAATACCCAGAGAATTGTATTAGAATTCTTTCACACAGAAAAGATGTAGACCAATTATTAATAGCCTGTCATCCTATAAGTCAAGGGAGTTAAATCTAAGATACAATAAATGTCTATGAACCTTCATTATGATCTGTGCATGCATCAATTGTCTAATTCTGAGTCAATACAACCACAACCAGTGACTCTCTTCTTTGCTGTAGTAATTCCTGTGACCCTGTGGATAAAATGGTGCATATAAGTACTAACTGGAATGATAACCTAAGTTATAGTATGTGCAGTACCCTGTACATCTTTGTGCCTCCTTAAGTAAAGCTGAGTATCAATATACAACAAGCACATTTTTGCTGAGAATGACAGACTGTGGAATTCTTGTAGTTTCTAAATATTATATCCAGAGCACAAATACAAAATTCAGCATCCGTCGTTCAAAAACGCGTAATCACATAAAAGCTGAAGAATGTTTCTCCACACACGATATGTAAATCCTCCGCTGTATGTCCCACTGCAAATATCATTAAAACACTGACTTTATTTAAGTTCCTCAGGGTTTTTGACTGTAGAGTAGAGAGAAGAAGGCTGGGTGCCACCCTGAGTCATTCTGACTGATGAGTATTCAGGCTGAGGAAACATTTTATCCATGTCGGGATGTGGATTTTCATCTATGGAGACTGTGACAACGTCCTGCTGGAAACTGATGCTGGAATAGTGGAGCTGCTCTGCAGGAAGGTTAGCGGAGGCATAAACCGTCAGAATTGCATCTTCAGAGCTTGCCCCCTGGTTGGGTTCCTTTATCTCCTCATACACTCGATCGTTGTGATTTTCCTGGGGAGGAGGAGGAGTGTGACAGATGTGACGGATGCAGGTTTTACACATACTGTGAAAAAGTGAAATAAATGTAGGTTCATATGCACCTCTGAGTTTTGTTGAGCGTGTGTGCTCTGCATTGTTGATCCCCCTGCAGGACGTGCAAAGAAAAAATGTGCAAGTTAGGCTTTTCATAATTAATTTCAAATATTAATATGACCCCTAAATTAGTGTATTAACATCTCTATGATAGGCTACCAACAAGCTTTTTGCCATTCACAGGAGAATTCAAGACAAAATGAACAAATGAGCAAATGAAAAGTTTGTGTGTATTAATGGGGTTTTACATGTTAGTGTACATGCTACTCTCATTCCTCACCTTGTCTCCTGCAGAGTTTATGTATGAACACTATGAGCACAATCCCAACTATCACCAACAACGCCAGACACACTACCATAACGCCAATCCTTCCTGCAACCACGACACAAGGAGAAAAAGCTGAAGGACACATGCAGGCAGCAGAGGACATGTCAGTGAATGTTTGTGTAGTAGAAGTGAATGGAAGTTATTTTTGTTTTTTTCTTCACAAGAATCAAAGTGATGAGGTCACCAGAGTCTGAATGGTCATCATGGTGGGTCGTTGTGGAAGATGGTGCTGCTGTTGTCTGCTGAGGTCCTGATTTTTCGGTTTTGATGCGTCCCTCTGTGGGTGGAGGGAAAAGAAGCCCCAAGATTAGAAGTGTGAAGGACAACATGAGGGACACACACACACACACACACACACACACACACACACACACGCACACACACACACACACACACACTCGTGTCTCCATGAATCGAAAGAGTGAAATTTCTGCACAAACACACACACACACACACACACATTCTAGTACTTCTATCTGAGTGAATACTCACAATTCATTCCCTGGCCTCGAATGTAACCATCACATCTAAACTTTAATCCTAACCCTCAAATCAGCTGAAGTGTCCTCACTTTCCCAAAATGGTCCCAACAAAAATATAAGTACAAAAACACACCCACAAATAAAAACCCATTCTGTGTCACATACATCCATAGTTCTTCTGTATTCCTGAGAAAACATCCGCTCAAGCAGTTTGGGCTGTAGTATTAAAATGCAACTTTACTCTGTAAGTTTGTAAAATATATCTTTTCTTTGAAGACTGAAAGTAAGTGAAAGTAGCTCCAGCACAAATATATTTCTAATTATTTTACTGAATCTTTTGCGTAGGTACAAAAAGAATGTGTGTTAGAGTGTTTCATGTTCTCAGAGTACTCACCTTTCAAAAGGTTGATTTTGGTGTAAGAAGCATTGTGCCATTTCCTGTCTGAGCCACACCAGTACGTTCCAAAGTCGGCTGTGACCAGATTGTTTATGTTCACCTGGAAGTGCTTCAATCTTTGGTTGTCCCTCATGGAAAACCTGTCTTTATCGGCTTTTGTTTCACCTTTTGTTGTCTGTATTAACACTTCACAGTTGAGAGGAATCTCCCCCTTGCACAGGGATTTTGTATTGTTCTCATGGGAGTCTGGGTAGGGACACTCAATTTGAGCAGTTTTCTTACTGTGAGTCGCTTTTGCAATTTTATCCGTGTCTGAAAAAAAAAAAAAATCAGGATAAATGCATTCACTGCTCTACAGACTCAATCATGTTTTTTACTGAAGAAGTGGAGTTTTATGGGTCAAAGACTCTGTTGTGTCGGTGAGTTTGGAAACAGGATGATTATAAAATCAGATCAATACTTACTTACAATCTGGAGATGGATCTGAGTTAAACATATTTTGACGTTATCATAAACGGTGCTCTGAACACACCGGTATCTTCCAGTATCCTCCTGCCTCAGCATGGCTATATTCACAGTGTAGACGCCCTGCTCTTTATGGTCTGTCAAAGAAAACCTGTCTTTCATTGTCTTAGGTGAAATGTGCGTTGAAATCAAAGTTGTGCAATCAGAGCTTTCATTTTCTCGTTGGAAGTATTTGATGGTGCTTCCTTCAGCTCGAGGGTAGCTGCAGTTGATGTTAACAGAGCCTCCAAGAAATGCCGTCTGCCACACTGGTGCGTTGACACCTGCCAGAGAAATGTAGCATGACCGGGTGGGAACTGAAAGTGGAACTTTTCACATAGCCTCATACAGTTTTACTTTTTCTTTTCACTTCTTAAATAACACATTTCATATTGCATTACAAATGTTAAAATGCAGACGGTCTGCTTGTTTGCATAGGGCTACACTTTGTGTATGAACAAGCTCATTGAGGACATAAAGAACAATAAAACACTAAAACCTTGGGCCTCACTGATTTGGAAAAATCTATTGAGACCTGCAGTGTCGTTGGTAGAGAAGGAAAAGCAATTCAGATGGTGACCTTGTTAGGCCCTGATGCACAGAAGGACATGATGCAACGCCTCTTGAACAAATCCAAGTTCAAACTGAGACGCACACACAAACACACATAAACCCAACTGTGAAACTAATACATTTTACACAATGTGTACATGTGGAACCTCATCACTCACAGTAAGAGTCAATATCTAAGTAGACAACAGGATTTCCTGGCATTTCAAAAAACATTATTAAATATCATTATGCATTAATAAGTATCATAGTACTGGTACTAATATTGGCTGTAATTA